AAAAGATGAAAGAGGAGAGAGTGTGACAAAGAAGAGAGCGAAACGTCATCTGGAACTAGATGGGACGAAGAGAAATCAGATGAAAATAGTAGATGAGATGTAATGAGGCAAGAACGTGGGAATGACAGAAAAGAGGATAAAGTGAGGTTTGTGTTGGAATTAATGAAGTGAGATTATGTTAAAAGATGAGATGGAAAAGGGAGATTCCCGTCTGACAGCAGCTCAAAGCTTCAAAGACAGAAGAAAAGAAAGATGTACTACCTGTGTAAAATGAAAGCAGATAAAAGCACTGATTGAAGGATAAAATATGTGCTCATGCATGTGTCTGATGTTGAATAGTGGGACTTTGTTTACCTTTCCTCCTGTGACTTTTGCGGACCGACCCAGGTTGGTGCAAAGACTCCTGGGAATTTTGTGGTCTGTCTAGCGGTAGCTGAGAGGGCCTCCGTCCTCTGACCTGAACAGGGGATGAGCGTAACAGATTGAGTAATTTGTGGACAGAGCTTCCAGGTCTGTGAAATTAAGACCAACGCAGAAATCTTAAAGCTGCATTCTTTCTAATGGCCAGCAGGGGGAAGCTCCATGGGCTGCAAAAAAAGTAGTCTGTTAGAACTGAATCATATGGCGAAATCACCCAATTTCTTACTTGATTTATGAGCTCAGTAAACAGTTTCCTGATGAGTTTATGGTCTCAATTTGTAGTTTTAAGTCTTCTTCCATACGGCATGATGTTTATTTAGTAAATGGTGGTCCCATTTAGAGTAAAATAGATGATAAAGCAGGGTATGCTTTAGGGCAGGGCTACCTCTACGTCATGAGTCTGTCCAGTACTGCTGCTGGCTGCAAAAAATCAACATGGCGACGGCCATGATGCCAAACTTGAGGCTTCAAAACAGTACTCCACAAACCAACGGGTGATGTCCCAATAGGTTCACACTCTCAATATTGACCTCCATATGAATACAACTAACAAGTCCATCAGCAAGAAAATTCACTATTTTCCGTATACAGTTATTCAGATTCAGTCAGATTCCTTTGAAATAAAGTGGCTGTTATTGCCACATATTTTGTTCTTACTGCCCCTGTCATTGTGACTCTGGCTGTTGTTGTTGTTGATTACTGTGGCTGTGACTCAGTCTTTAAAGGTTCACAGTGGAGTTTTTGACCTCTAGTCGCACTATGGAGCTGTTTTTCTACAAGCAGGTCCTCTGTTTATCTAGACCGATACACACTCTCACCAATGGTCACTGTCTGTGTATACACGCAAAGATATACTGCTGTGTGCCAGCAAAGGTAGGGAAGAAGAATAATGTAGGCTTGTAAACATGGATGTAAACAATGCTGGTTTTAAAATACTTAAAGATCTCCCCCAGACAAACAAATAATAAAACATATACACAAACCGTCCTCTTGGAACAATCATTTGTTGAATTGTTGATTGATATCTCCAGATAACCCCAACAAGTCGAGGCAGATGGCCACCCACCTAGAGCTGTTTCTGCCTCCTAAAAGGAAATTCTTCTTTGTCACTGTCACCATGTGCTTGGTGTACATTATTTATGAGTATGGGTATCTATTAGAAAAATATCCTGAGATAATGTCTGTTTTTCCTGCTGGACACAAAATGTCTCCTCCTTCAGTGAACTGGTGGATCACACTGTATAAGTTGCATACTCTACCAGGACTGACCTCCATACTATTTGTGATGTTACAAATCATGCTCGTAGGCCCCGCCCCTTAAAATCAGATTTTTAATGAGCTCAGAGAAACTTTCCACTTTCAGCAGATCAATGTGAAAACGTCCTTCTAGTGTCAAACTCTGCACATACACACCTGCCATATTTGATGGCTTTTGCTTTTTGGCTTTTTTAACTTGCTCTCTATGCTCCTGTTAATACTCCACAAGCTGTAAAGAATAGCCACAGCTACAGCCGTAGCCCTAACAATAACCATATCCCATACACACGATGGTCACAGCTAATAGTTGTATACTGTATATCTCTCTGTAAACATCAAGTGGGATGCAAAGATATTGCAAAACAATGCAAAAGGTTATTGTAAGGGGATGATAATAATAATAATTATCATCATCATTACTAAGTAGTACAAAAAAAATCCCACTGCAACCTTTAGGCGTCCCTACGATAAACAAACCCAAAGCAGCAGTAGATATATATAAATAATAAAAGACATGCAGAAGAGCAAAATAAAAGGTCATGGGCAGTCTGCTCATTAGACTAAGTTTTATTTGAGTACAAGTGAATATGAGATAAAGTTGATCCCATGACCTGCAGGTGGCGCTAGAGAAACGGTCATGAAAAGTGTGCATTATGTGGGGAGCGCAAATGTGTTCAGTTAATTTCTTGGAAATCTGTGCATCCGATTCATCTATTTCTTGCGTACACGTGAATTTCTTCCCCTAATTGCAGTACTTAAGGAAACATCCGAATTTATTCTATCAACAGCAAATCTTTTTATATTATTATTATATTTTTATATTTTAACATTTACAGACCTTAAAGATGACATTGCACGGCACCAAAATGACCACGACCCCAACGGTTTGTTAGCAAAATGTTAGCCAAATGAACAATGACAGATGAATACTGAAACCATAAGGAATAATGCATCTGATGATTAATAATTCAAGACAGAGTTCAGAAATCAAACACCTGAGGAAAATGATTAAAAAAACTGGAGGTAAATCAGAAAAAAAAACATTCAAGGTCAAAGGCTGACTAATAATGAATCAAGGATCTGCATAATTCAGAGAGTCTGTGGTCTCTCTAGTTCAAGGTAATGAATTAGCAGTCAATAATGAGCTCGGTTCTGAAATGCTTGGCGGTTCTTACACACAGTTTTGTTTCTGGGAAGCTGCTGAATACGATAATCTGGAAATCTGGGTGTGGGAGGGTGTGTACAAAGTACTGATACAGTAGATAAACAGTTCTTTTAAACATGTCGTATAGTTGTATATTGCAATAACTGTGTATGGTTTTTTTTATGGTCTGGACATCATTTGGGAACCACTGGATTAAAATACCCAACACATTAACTGGAGTGAAATGAATATAGTTTTACAGTTTCTGTTGTGAATTGCTTTTAAGCCAACATAGACAAGAGTTCCTGGAGTACTTATTTTTATTCATCTGTATGCTCATCAAAGACTGAATGAACAGCAGTCTTTCCAGAAGCAGCACACTGAGAGTGGTATGGGTTGTGATATAAAGAGGAAACTACCAACAGCATGAAGCAACCAAATAAAGCTTTACATGTAGATGTGAATGTATGATAAAGTGCCAAGACAATGCACACTTATCAGACCCTCGTCAGATAAATCAGTGATTAAAAGCCATACAGATGACAGTCTGAGAGGAAATATTCTCTATCTATCATCAGCTTTATGGGAGTGGAACCTTATTAAAGATGACTGATAGGAGGGATGGAGGACAGGAGAGTCGGTAAGGAGGAGGAGAAGTCGTGGAGGAGGATCATTGAAAACTGATGGATGGCAACATCCAAGTGTGTCCTACCTTCGCGTTTCCATGTCTGTCCATCGGCCGCAGGGAGTTACTCCAGCCTTTTTGCTAACGAGAGAGAGGGAGACAGAGATAGATGGTGTTACTGAAGTTGGGAGGAGAGCGAGACAGTCGAGAAGAGAACGAAGTCAAGGAGAGACGACACAAGAACACAGAGACACCAACATTAAGAACTACACATCTTTATGTATTTGTTTGGATTGTTATTATATTCATATTGCCAATGTCACCACACCGTACTCCATACAGTGTCAGTGTCACGTTTTGCTTAAACGTAACAAGTAGACACATGTATGAAGGTGCAGTGCCAGGGTGGCCGGTTAGCTCAGTCGGTAGAGCTGGCGACCCATATACAGAGTT